GTTGATTTCAAGAGTGGCTTTGATGCCTTATGGCATCAAGGATGCGTCGGTAAACTTCAAAGGATGGGACTTCCGAAGAAGTATTTAGAATCGATCAATCAATGGCTAGGAGGGAAGCGAGCATTTATTGAAATAAAAGATTGTAGGTCGAAATGGTGTTCAATTCTTCGAGGTGGTCCGCAAGGCTCGTGCTTTACTCCCACTCTCTTCATTTGCTACCACGCTGATATGGGAGAGTTTCTTCAGTTTTGTGCTTCGTTCTTTTTCGCAGACGATCTTGCGGCTGTCCTTGCTGGAGGCATTGGGGAAAAATATACAAAGCAATGCATTGATTTAGAGAGAAGAATGAAATTGTTCCTTGATAATTTGGCATACTATGCTTTATTGAATGTACAACCGATTAATTGGTCCAAAACAGAAGCTTTATGGTCCGCTCGGGCTCGAGGAGTTTATGGAAATGCGCAATTTGTGATTAAATGCGGTGATAAGAAGGATGAAACGAGAGAAATAGAAGGTAAAATGTCGGGAGAAATCACTGTCAGTTGGGTAAAAGAATTTAAAGAAGCTCTACAGGTTAATGGTATTATGAAGGGATGACAAAGTGGACTGGACATCTGTCAAGTGAATTTGGATTTTCTTTTCTCGTAGATGTGAATTTCGAAATAAAATGCTGTTTTAAAAACCAAATATTTTCGTCCGTGTTTCTTTTAAAACTGAGCTATGAGCAAAGAAACAGGCGAGATCTTTATTTATAGCGGTCGTTTTTGTCTCACAAAGTATAGAGATCTAATATGTTCAGAATCAGGTGTTTCAACGATTAGTAATCAGGACCAAATCAGATACCGTCGTCGAAAAAAATTGAACGGTTTACGTTTAAATCGAGATGACATGTAAGTCAATCGACATTTTTCTTAAACACGTTTCTAGCAGATGGGTCGAAAACTGCATCCCAGTTTTTATATTGTTTCAGGTGCGGTTTATATGAACTCGGCTAAAATTATCCATATTTTTTCCAATTTTATCTTTTATTACCAAAACTCGTCGCAATCTGTGCGCATATCAAAGCGGTTGAAATTTTCAATGCTAGTATTCAGAACTTATGGATTCATTTTCGTACTTAAGTGATCATTGTTATCTAACT